GGATGCACCTGTGAGTCATATCAGAGGGGAGGGACAAATGCAGCCTATCTGAACAGTAAGTGCTATTTGATCTACATTACACACTGGTTCCTAAATCATCTGAGTCTGAACTACATGCTCCTAATTTTGGAGCTGTTTTACTTGATTAGATTTTTATAGCTGTGTTTACTGCGGGTGATGAATAGTTCATTGTGTTGTGACTGTGTCGTATCACGTTTTCAGGCAGTTTGGCTTAAAAGTGCTGCTTTGTGATAAACAGGATGTTTGTAGGAGAAAGAAGCTTTGGCATTTCTCTCTGTGTGTTTGTTTAAAAGCAACTGCAGTGTTTGAAGCTCCTGGATCAGTACGGCCTTTGAAGGGGGAGGGGGCTTCCTAACAGAGAGGTAAACTTCAGGTCGACAGCTGCTGCTACAGGAGCAGAGCTCTGTCCCTGGGCTCATTACATTGTAAATCTCTAATATGTAAAACCTGGTCAGACAGGTCCTTCATTCGGTCTGTAAATCAGCCCCGCCTACTGCCTGCCACCAGTAGTCATGTCAAACAGACATGGAGGAGCTCTGGCCAGCTAAACGTCTGAACCAGCGGCTGCCAGAGGGAAGAGGTGGTGTCTTTTCCACAGAGAGAGTGGGACAAAGAAAGAGCAACAACCAGGGTTAACATGGGTTTGGCTGTTTGACATTGAGAGGGTTAAAAGCAGCCAGAGGACTCAGACTGGATCCAGATGTGGTGCTCTTCCTTCTGCGTTGGCATCTAAAGCTAATCTGTCTGTTTTTGGTAGGATTAGCCACCTAGCATGGTCAGCATTTTACCTTTGTGTTGAATTAATGACTAAGGTACAGTGTCATGCTGCTGCATAAACGCTGAGACAAAAAACAGCTAAAAGTGGCAGCGTGTTTCCAGATGAAACAACAACATTCGGTAAAGTTGTCAGCTTTGTTTAGTAGCTCTGAGCTACACTCAGGTGGCTGTTGGCTGTTCGTTAACCGACAAGCTCTGACCGGCAGTGTGGAGATGAAATCTGAACAAATCTTTTCACGCACCTGCGGAGCCAGTTGGTTTATTCTGAGCAGTGCAGGGGGCCGTCATGTGCAGGTGTGAGACTCTGGGTCAGTCGACTCTTTGCTTTGTGTGTGTGTGTGTGTGTGTGTGTGTGTGACAGTGAGGTAATAAATAACAGGAGCTTCTGCAGGACGCCACTAACCTCCAGTGTCAGGAAGCTGCTGAGAGGCCATCTGGAGCCGTCCCCAGCCTGCAACAGGACTCCACCCCCACCCCCAGTGTGTGCATGTACTGGTTTGTGTTTTTGTGTGGCTGTGTGCTTGTACTGGTGTGTGTGCAGGTGAGTGTTGTTGTGAATAGCCACCACAGCTTTGGTGTGCAACAGTATGAAAATGTGTGCTGCAGTCTCTCTGTTTGTGTGCTTGTGCGTGCGTGTGCACTTCCTGTTTAAGATTCAGTGATGCTTCCAGAGTTATTTTGAGCATCGTTTGCCTCCTGTTGAGTGCTGTCAGCAGCCTGTGGTTTACTTTGTCTGGTCCGACTGTCAAATCCGTTCAAAAGCACAAACGCATCACAGGAAGGAGGTTGAATTTCAAAGTAAGACGATCAGTTGACAGGAATGTCTGCACAGACAGGAAAACACATTTTTTTTTTTTTTTTTTGAAGCTCAAAGTTCTACTAAAAGCTCTTAAACCCTTTTTAGACACAGGGTGTAACATCACTGGGGGGTGGGGGCTGGACAGACAGTGTGAGGTGACAGGTACATGCAGGTGTTGAACAGAACAGGAGTCCAACTACTGTGGTTTGTCAGGGGCTGAAGCTGCAACAGTGACACACAGAACTGGTCCCTAGTCCTAACTCGGACAGATCTCACCACGCACACATGAGACATGTTGATGTGACTTCCACTTCCTGAGGATCTTGTTATCTTTGATGCCCATCCAGAATAAACCTCCATGAACCCATTTAGAAGTCATCTGGCATGCCGGCATGTTGCTTGTTACGTAGCAGCAGGGGCGGGAAACCCTGTTGAATGAAGCACAGGTGACACATGGGGCGCTGATCTTCACCAGCTGCTAAACAATGGATGACCGTTTGAGGAAATGTCCTTTCATTCTGAGACACCCATCATAATATCACCTGATTTTTATGGGTGTAACTTCGAGTCATGGTTTTACATAGCCAAGGAATTCATTGTCATACATTTGGCGGATTATGAGACACTGGGTCCCCGCGCACAGCCATGAAACAGAGCCCCAGCTCTCCAACATTTCTATGAGCAAGACTTGATTTGTAGCCAGTTTGTGTTGCTTTGTGCTGGTTTTGTGTCTGTAGCCATTTAGTATTAATTGTTGCATCTCTTTGTGGCCATTTTGCACCTATTTTTACTTGTTTTGTCATTCCTGCATAAGTTTGTAGTTGTTTTTCTGTCGCCGGGGTCTTTTCTGTTACTCCTTAGTCATTTTGTGTCTATTTCTTTTTAGCTGTTTTGCAGCTATTTCCTCTTGTTTTATGGCTTTTCATAGTGGTCATGTTTCACAAGACCACGCCCATCTGGCGCACACCGGCACCATGCCACTGTCTCATCACTCACTGTGTGTGTTGCTGTGTGTTCCGTGTCCCACCGTCACAAAGTTCAATCCCACACATAGCAGCACCGAGGCCAGCGCTGTGCTAAAGGTTGCGCCTGTTGTTTGACCTTCAGGTGACATTTAGCCTGACACCAGACATGCTGCTGAAGCCTAGGCAAAATATTCACCGTTTATTTCAGGGCCATTTATTTCAGATGTTTCCCATCACAGTCAAATAACAGGGCTCCAAAAGCTTGAAGATGATGAATCATCTTTCAGCTCCAACTGTGAGTTTTGTAATAAATCATGTGATGATGATGAAATTCAGCCCAGGCGAGCAGAGAGAACTGATTCTGCTGTTTACTGATGTTTGTGCAATTTGCATTGTCATTTGTTTTTTTAATTATTTATTTAATGAGAATTTCTAACCCATTTCACAGTGAGCACAGAAGACAAGTTAAAGAATGAAATCAACACTTTAGTCTAAGTATCTGTGCAGGGTTGCAGTGTAGGCAAAGCAAATTCACTTAACCTGGTCAATACTGAAACGTTGCGGGCCTGTAGCTGATGACTTGCTGAGTGACAGCTTTGACCTACGCCCCAGGATTTTAATGCTGCTGCTCATTCACTGCGGTTCATGAAGCCGACTTTTCTGATCCTCTGATGTTTTAGTGTATGTTCATGTTTTTGTTCTACAACATAAAAACACAGAGGTTGCCCTCCTGAAACAACGCGTCCGCATGTGGTTTGTGCCAGCAGCTTATGACAATCAGCAGTAGCAGTGTTACAGGTTGCTGTCCTTCACGCTGTCCGTATACCTTCTTAGTACCAACACAAATGTCTAAACAACACCTGCGTCCTTGTTCTCATACTTCTGTACCTTGTGTTTATCTGGATTAAAACATTCCTCCACTAGGGGGCAGACTAGGGCCTCATCACCCCTGTCAGAGCATCTTCCTCATGATGCACAATGTAAACACCACCCCAAACCCCAGGGCGTTCAGTAGCAGCAGCAACGTTGTAGATGGTTTGTCAGCGGTGACGGGAACTTTTTACTTTATCATTGTTTTCATTTTATAGACTAATAATTAATCAAAGAGTAATCAACAGAGGAATGGGTCCAGTTGATCCAGTATGCCCAGTACATACCAATGTACTCCCTTTGGAAGAGACCATAATGCAGCTGTGTATTAATGTAACTAGTACACCTCTAGTCCACTTCTATGTGTGAGCAGCCAGAGCTGGAGTCGTATAAAATGTGTCTTCATAGCAGTTGGAACAAACGCTGAACAATGATGTGTAGATACCGTTTACCGCCACAGTGTAGTCTGTTATAAACGGGTTGTCGCATGTCTGTGTGCTGATTATCGTTGTGACCGATGAATCAAAGGTAACAACAGATTTAAACAGAGGTCAAGATGAGCAGCATTATAGCAGATGGAGTCTGGCCCTGTGAGGAAACTCACCTTGAACCGGCTCCAACGTTTATTATACAACACACACACACACACACGTAGAAGCACGGCCTCTCTATCAGAAACTAATCTCAGGTCTGCTCTGTGCACCTTCATCTGTAACACACACCTCCTCTCCTCAGCCCCACTGCCTCTCTACAGTATTTCAGCTCCGTGGCACAGACATATTTCCTGCAGGACGTTCGGCTGCAGCAGATAAAAACACCGTCACATTTACCATGCAGATAAACACCAACAGGAGGGCTGTGTCTTTCATGTGTGTGTGCAGGAAACTGGTGGAGATGTTTTAAAACGTGCTTCACATTCAGACCGTTTCCTCAAACAACCATAAGTGTCTGATCCACAGCTCCTCCTCAGTGATAGGGGCTGAAATCACACAGAACAGGATTCAGATGCTGATTTTCAGAGGGAAATCACATTTAACTGAAAAGATGAGGCTGGTGATGTGTATGTTGCTGTCATTCCCCACCAACCCCGTCCAGAGACCAGCAGCACCAGTGAATGTGGTGTCTTCACTGTAATGTGAGTCCAGACCCTGGTCCAGCTTATCGCTCTGTGTTGTAGACCCCCCCATTTTTATTTACACCATCTGGTTTCAACATCACATAGCGGAAGTGGTGAAAGCAGGTTGGTAGCATGTTTCGTGTTTCTTTTTACAGCAGCGCTCAGACACACTGTGCATCACACTGTTGTATGAATAAAAATCATTAAAAAATATTCAGAGAAAACATCAAAATGCAGCTGAACAGGGCGCCGATCACAGCTATCGATGAACAAACTGTCACTCAGTGTTTCATGTGAGTGTGTGGCAACAATTTGGGATTCAAACCAGCAGCCTTTTAAAATGTCTGACCACACACCAATGCCGCTTCAACGGCCAGTTTGCTGGGTGAGGCCTGCAGGACACGCTGTCTCAGGTCAGAGCTCATGTGCTGCTGTTTCTGCTTCTGTGCAGGTGCGAACGTGCTGGTGGCTCCCAGGTGGCCCGTGGAGAAGCTGAGTCTCCTCCAAGTTGTGAAGCAGCAGTCCTCCACTGCTGCTGCACACAGGCAGAGAGCACCACCCGGTGGACTGGTACGGCATCACAGTCAAAGTATTCAGACCTCTTTACTTCAATAGAAGTAGTAATACATGATTGTGTAAAAGTACTGAATGAAAAGTCCTGCATTCAAAATGTTACTTAAGTAAAAGTATCAGCATCCAAATAAACCTGAAGTACCCTCAGTACCAGTACTCGTCCTGCAGAACGGTCCATGTCTCAGTAATGTCTCTGATACTGGATCATAGTGACTAATTACTGTGTCCATCAGTTTAATGCTGCAGCTGGTAAAGGTGGAGCTGATGGTAACTACCTTATATACTTATACTGTGAAGTACTTTACATCCTGCTGGGTAGCATAAAAACTCAGATAACATTTAAAGTTAAATTTAAAAAACACGAAGTGTGTACAGAGTGAGTGGAGGAAAGTAATTAAGTACATTTACTGAAGTACAGTTTTTAGGTATCTGTAGTTTACCTGAGTATTTCCCTGTCCTTCTACTTAAGACAAACCTTGGAGTTCACTCCATGTCAGAGACAATACGTGTACTTTTTACTGCACTACATGTACCTGATAACTTCAGCTCCTTTCCAGAGTCAGATGAATCAAACCAAACCCAGTATAACCATCAGACTCTCTTGATCCTGCTGGGAAATCCACCTAATCGTTTAGTCAATCATTTAGTCACACAGTCAAGTCAGTCCCCTCTTGTCTTCCCTTCCAGCCGGCTCCTCACTCACTCCTGTTCCATCTATCTTCTGTCCCTTCTCTCTGATTCACTAGTTTTTTTTATTATGTCCTCCTGACCGTGTCCAACCTCTCCTTCTGTCATCCCTTGCTTTCCACGTCAATTCCCAAATCTAGTTAACAGGTCATCTCCAGATCAGGGTGACCCAGTGGGTTAGAGGAGCAGGCCATGAACCCACAATGTTCTCGCTTGAGCATACACAAACATTTAAACAGTTTACACAGTGATCTGACAGAGTACAGAGGGCTTGCAGAGATTGACTACTGCATATAGTAACTATGTAATCTATTATTCTTATTAATCTATTTTATTAATCTGTATTCTATTACATATCAACTTGTACCTCGTTTGTTTTTAACCACTACAGTTTTGATGCTGATCGTTTTGTACTTAAGTAACATTTGGAATGCAGTACTTGTTACAGAGTACATTTACACTGTGGTACTGATACCTTTATTAAAGGGTCTGAGTACGCCATCCACCGCTACACAGGTGGTGACGGTTCAACCTGAATCCTCTGCTTGTAAAACGTATGAGGTGTGAAGGTATAAAAAGGAAACATTAGCTGTTTTTTCTGCTTCCTGTCCTGTTTGTGTCCTGACACCCCAAACGTCTCTGTCTGTGCTGCAGGATGTGGTGATGGACAGCACAGCTGCTGATGTGCTGAGGTCTGACACCCCTCCCCTGGAGCTCAGGCCGCCGCACTCATCTCTCTCCGTCTTTTCGGATGCTTCAGCTGGCTCCAAACAGCCGGTCACCAAACGTCACAGGAAGCTGCTTCTGAAGAGCAGCTTTGCTGCCTCCAGTGCCCCCAGTGGTGGAGAGGAGGAGCAGCAGCAGAAGCAGCAGCTGATGCTGGCCAGGACGCAGGAGTCACGCCGCCGCCTGCTGAGCGAGGTCTGTGCCAGATATAGGCCCGGCGTCACCAAGTGGCCTGTGTCTAAGCGGCAGGTGTCACGGGTTTATGTGGAGGACCGGTACAGGCTGCTGTACTGTGAAGTGCCCAAAGCCGGCTGCTCCAACTGGAAGCGGGTGCTGATGGTACTAGGCGGGAGTGCCACCTCCACTCAAGACATTCCTCATGATGTGGCGCATTACGCCAACCACCTGCGGCGGCTGGAGAGCTATGACCGCACCGGCATTGTCAAGCGTCTGCGCTCCTACACCAAAGTGCTGTTCGTCCGGGATCCCTTTGAGCGTCTGGTATCAGCCTTTCGGGACAAGTTTGAGAGCCCGAACTCGTACTACCACCCCGTGTTCGGACGGCCCATCATCTCCAGATACCGCACCAACGCCACACGCACTGCTCTGCGCACGGGTGCTGGCGTCACCTTTAGGGAGTTCGTCCGGTACCTCCTGGATGTGAATCGGCCGGTGGGTATGGACATCCACTGGGAGCCGGTCAGTCAGCTGTGTAGCCCCTGCCTCCTCGGATACAACTTCATCGGGAAGTTTGAGAATCTGGAAGAAGAAGCCAACTTCCTGCTGCAGAGTGTCAGCGCGCCGCAGAACCTCACCTTCCCTGACTTCAAGGACAGGAACCCCCTGGCTGAGAGGACTTCTTCCGAGATCACCCAGAAGTACTTCTCCCAGCTGAACTCGACAGAGAGGCAGAAGGCCTTCGACTTCTACTACATGGATTATCTGATGTTTAACTATCCCAAACCCTTCAAAGACCTGCACTGAGCTCCATGGGCTTGGAAACACATTCGGTTGAACTTTATCACCTGACCTTATTCTTTTTTATAAACAACGCCTTCATGTGTCAGGTGTGTCAGAATGAGCCTGGAGCCCATAATGCACTGCAGTGCCTTGGGTTGACCTGACAGTCAGCGCTGAGGGCTGCAGATGCTGTTGATGCTGCACATCACTGAGACCGGACCTCTGGTGTTTGTGGCTCTTTATGTTTAACGTGGAGACGTCGTGTTTCTGTGGGCTGCAGACATCATGTCTGCTCCGTCAAGCTGTTTGTTTGTCATTTGCTCTGTCACGGTGGCGGCTAGGAGTCAGTGCAGGGCGAGAGTAACACCTGAACGCCAGCTCTGATCCACAGCTTCCACCTATGTCATCCCAGGGTCTCCCTAAATCACACCAGACCAAACATGAGCGCTGCAGCTAACACTGGTTTTCATTCTAGATGGATCTGTTGTTTGTTCCCCAGGTAAAGAATTAAACATATGGTCTGTAAAATATCAGAAATAAATGTAAATCGGCCTGACACGTATCAGCTGGCATACGCTTCCCACAGATCTTTGTGTTAGTGTCAGAGCACAGGTGAGAAGCTATGCTCAGTGGTCAGTTTATTAGGAACACCTGTCTCAAACTAAGTCGGTTTGATCCAACAGTCCTACAGTAAATCCTCCTTCATGAAGCTGATGGGTTCATTAACACCTCCCCCTCCGTGAAAGAGACCCAGCTGGGACTGACAGCTGTGGACACCTCAGTCGTGTCCAGGTGTTCATGTTTGCCACAGCCATGATTGTTCTGCATCAGAGCGAAGGTGCTGGAGCTAAATGACAGGCACTGATTGGGGTTGTTGACTCTGCCAAACAGACGTTGTCTCACTGCCTTTCCTTGGTTAACTTGACTCTGGCTTCATCACTCAGCCAAGAAGTGAACTACACGCACTAATGATGACTTCTGTGAAGTTTCATCTACATCTGCATTAAGCTGTCAGATTTGTCAACCCCACCATCTGCAGGTGGGGGTGAGATCCACAGTGAAACCCCTGGACATAAGAAACACAGTTCAAACCATTCTTCAGCTCATAGAATCAGTTTTATCAGAGTCAACAAGACTCCAGTTGATGACAGCAGCTGTGTGATCAGCAATCTTCATAACTTTACCTCTTCATTTTATAAAAGCTCGATTCTCACGTTATAGTTTTTGTCCTGGACAGAAAAGGATGTTTTTAATTTTCACCAGCCTAATGCAGACGTACTGTATGCCAGTCATTTTCTCACCATAACGATTGTTGTTTGTGTAACAGAGGAGTCTGAAGTGGAAATGTCACACTTTAAGAGGTAACGCTGGTGAATTAGTGTGCTTGTGTTTTTCTGCACAAACCCCATCCAGAGACTAAACATCAGGGTCTGGACTTGCACGTATTACGGTGAGGACACCACATTCACTGTTGTTGTTGGTCTCTGGACAGGGTTAGTGGTAAATAAGACAAAACGTACAGATTCAGCGGCTGCATTCTTTAAACTTCCTGCTGTTCTATGGTGTCAAACTGAAAACATGCAGCTGAAGCGAGTCAAACTCTGCTTGTCTCTGCTGTTGTGATGTTCCTCTGAGATGAAGATGACCTCTGAGCCTTAACACTGCCATGTGATGCTTTATGTCGCTGTTTGTTTCTGTTGCTACAAATAAATGTGAGACTTTAATAACGAAACCGCCTGTTTTCATGCAGCTGCAGAGACGGGATGCGACTCTGGATCACGGTTCCTTTCCAACATGAGCTTCGTCAGTCTTTGATTTATTGTTTACAAAGAATAATACAAACAAATTGATCATTTTCACCACTGTGTGTTCAGAGAGCTACAAACGAGGCCCACGTGTGGACTCGACGTGATTCAGCTGATATAACCAATGAACCCTGACTGACAGTCGTCGGCGGAGACGTTTGTCTCTATGCATGTCACCTCGTCATGGACTCTGTTTTGCCCTGGAGGTGGGGGACAGTCTAGTAACAGCTCCCTTCCACCTTCTCTGTTTGTCGTCGAAGGTCTCGGACTCCCTGAGGGTCTGAGGGACCGTTTCCCCTCCCTGGCCTTGCTCCATATCTTTGTCAACGTATCATATTTATACACACGGATGGATTACTGCACAGGCCGAGTGGACACAGGTCCGGGGCCCCTAGGCCAGAGAACCAAGGGATGGGTCCCTCTTTGGAAAGTCAGTCGGATGATAACAAAAAGCTACCAAAGAAGAAAAAATAGATGCAAAACCACTATCATACTTTAACTTCTACATTTCAGTGGCACATATTATAATAATTAATAAAGGTGATTATTATTATTTTTCTGTCTTAACAGTTTGAAGTTGGAGTGTGATAAACTGGCCTCTGAGAAGTCAGAGATGCAGCGGCACTATATCATGGTATGTCTGTTGTAATTTCTTGTCAGTGCAGTGTGGCTTTTTATTAGTTGACTCCTACAATATACCAACGTACTTAGTGAAGTGTGTGTCACTCCTTCACTGTGTTAGTTTTGTTGTTAGTGTATAAACTGACTTTTAGTTGTTTTGAGTTTGCAGTATCCAGGCATTGTTAATACATATAGTACACCAGTTTGTGTGTGGGATCAAAAGGTACAGAAAATATGTATATTATGTTTTTCTCCCCTTTTGTATTTGTAGTACTACGAAATGTCCTATGGGCTGAACATTGAAATGCACAAACAGGTGATTCCTCTCTATAATGCAGTTTTTTGTCGTCCCATGTCTTGTGTTGTTCTGGTCTGACCTTGTTTCATTTGTTTTCTTGACAGGCAGAAATAGTGAAGAGACTGAATGGGATTTGTGCTCAGGTGCTGCCTTACCTGTCTCAGGAGGAAATGAACCACACATCTTCCACATGCAAAAGACACAACACATGCAATAAACAAACGCGGTATTGAACAAAACACATGCAAACGGAAAACGCTGCATTAACCAAAAAAACACATGCAAGACAGAAACGTGGCATTAAACAAAACACATGCAAAAGGAAAACGCTGCATAAACCAAAAAACACATGCGAAAGGAAAACGCTGCATTAACTGAAAACACATGCAAAAGGAAAACGCTGCATTAACCGGAAAACACATGCAAAAGGAAAACGCTGCATTAACTGAAAACACATGCAA